TAGTCTTGTTAATAAAATATAACAAACATATGCCTGTGCACAGGATTGTTTGTGTTTTTGCACAGATCCTCAGGAGGACAGATTCTACTTCCTCCCAAATAATCATGAATCCTATTGTGTCATCGGCACTCGTTTTCCGGATCAGAAACTCAGGATTCTGAAGCTTCCAAGGGGAGGAAATAATAACTTAAAAATAGAATCAGGCTTTTAAAGATGTTTTGGCAACTATTTATTCAACAATTTCCATTTCATACATACAAACCTCTAAATTGAATAATAAATCCCATAGACAATGGAAGAGACACACCTCCATTAGGGTGCTAAGTAACGAATCAAGCTTCCTCTCTGCAGCTTGATATGAAGCCCCTTATTTCATCAAGAAGCTGAACTAACACTTTTAGTTCTAATCTTGGTTTTTGCTGAGGTTTACTGTTTTTTAATATATATATTTTTATTTCAGTGCATTTAAACACTTTCCAACTTAACTGGTATGTGAAATGTTTGTTGTTACACACAAACAATGAAAGTGGATAAAGGCATTAAAGTGATTTTATACCTTGAAATTAAAAGAGATTCTGTTGTATTACACCTGCTAACACCCCTGGAACTGGAATAGTTGCAGCCTAATGCAAAATTGCTCTTTTTTTAACACTGGTGATAGACAAACTCGTTTGTTTTCATTAACATGACAGCAAGGTGACAGAACTACTGAAGAATCACTGGATAATTTTATTAACATCGTGGTAATCTCAAAGTCAACAAATACATGGTGTCAGCACAGAGGGACTAGCAGAGTGATCAGTGCTCACGAGTCCCCGATTCAAAGCAGAAAACAAACAAAACAGAGTCTAAATGTTCCTGAGATGCAAAAAAACCCCCAAATAAATGAAACAAATAAAAAAACAGCACATCACCACATGCGATTGTGTCACATGTTGTCCGCATTGTGACAATATTATAAGAAATCGGTCTGATTGATGCTTGTGTTAATATTACAGAAAAAAAAACAAAGGTTTGCACTTAAGCTAAACTGTACAGCAGAGATGCAAGAAGGGCCAAAGGATGAGAGGAGGGACAGAAACATGTGCTATCATCACAGCTATGGAGTGCCTACCGATTAAAACAGAATTATAGACTACAACAATGAAAAAGAAATCTGATTATGACCCACAGAAACCATCATTTTCATAATTTGGGAGTGACATGTTTTCTATTTAAGTGGGCGTCTAATTTCCTGAGCTGGTGCAAGTACAGTGCACTACATGTTTAGTGACATACCGCTCCGAGATCAGTGCAGTTTAAATAAAAATACTGTCTCATCAGCTCAGCTAATAGGTTTTTTTAAAGACCAAGTTCGCTTTTTAAAATACATTTTCAGCAGTCTCTAGATTAAATGAATGCCTTGTGAGGCAATCTGTGTGTGTGTGTATGTGTGTGTGTGAAGCTCTGGCGCTAAGTAGATGTTAGCCAGGGAAGAGGAGAGCAAAACACGGCCAGTTTTGGAGTTTTATTTCCTGATATTCTGATATCTCATTTCTGATTGGCTGACAGCAACATGACTCCACCACTGACTCTTTTTGTTCTGCAAAGTTGAAGTTTTATCTCCACAAATAACACAAGCCTGAAGGAGTTCTGCCATGTTGCGGAGTTGCTAATGCTAACAGCTAGCTTCTACTAGCTGAGATGTGCTCTCCTCTCTCCTGGACGCTAAATCAACAACAGCCTTCCCTGTTGCAAGCCAAGATGGGCGAGTCCATAAATGCTACTTTAGCATTGTGACGTAGATCTATGCAGGTTTTTTGACTCGAGCGTTTTCCCCATCTATTTTCTATCAGCGGCTATGCAGGAAATAGGTGTAGAAGACGGTTTTCACATTTAACCTGCAAGTGAAACTCAAGGTGACCGATCATATTTAAAAAATAAAAAGTGAAAAATGGTTTCTCAGTGAGCTTGCTCTTTAAACAGCAAATAGATAAACATTTTCGGTTCTGATTATTCTTTTCAAGCTGATATTTTATCTATTCAGCAAGCAAATCCTGTCTGTTGCCCATTACAGTGGAGCAGTACAATTTGAAATTTTGCCCCAGTTTCTATGTGTCCCCGCCAACGTAAAAATTGTTCACTAAATTGCAGGCAATTTTATGCCAAAATTGCAACCAATATTGCACTGCTTCATATGCATAAACACACAAATCCAGCAGAGCCTCTTCACTCTTCAAGCAGGAAAAATAGAGTTGGGTTTGTTAAAAATTAGAGAAAAACAATCCAAGGAAAAGGAGCCTAACTGAAAATGGCACCGCAGCCATGTTTAGTGATATAATTGACTTGCTGCCAGGGTGAAATTAGAGGCCCACGATCTTGCAAATATTAACCAAACTGATATGACATAAAGAAGGGGGTGTTTTAAAGCTTGGTGTCAAGTGACAATTACAAAGAATGACAGCTAAGATAAAACCAAGCCACAGCTGAATTTTTGTAAAACGGTGCATGTTGTTATAAGTCAGGCTGTTAAAAAACATAAAAGCTGTAGTTTAAAAAGCACTGCAAAAAAATCAACTCAGTATCGTCAAGTCAAAACACTTATTTACAGGTGATTTCTGGAGGCAAAAAAACCTGCACATTTTACCAATTACTAAGAAATATTCAATGAACTGGTCAGAGTGCATAATTTAGTAAATGGCACAGTTTATTTATTTATTTTTTTGTCATGCCAACACCAACTCATCACTGCAGACCTTTTCTTTCTGTCTTCTGAATCACCACAACTCCTCAGTTCTAAGGTAGATGCACGGGTGAGAGCTAACGGACACAGTCAGTGAAAATTACATCATCATGTAAAATAGACAGTGGATGAAGACGAAAGGTTTGAATGTACTGAAAGCTTGCAGTGAGGCTCTAATGACATATTTCCGTTCTAAATGTAGAGCAGAAATACAATCCTGGTAAATCTTCTGAATTGTTCAAATCCTTTTATTTACACATTTAAATCGCAGCATGTTGGTGTGGATCCTCTCTCAGCCAGGACCGAATATTTACGTTGTGTTGTTTTTGAGAACATGTAGCTTCTCATCCAAGAAGCTTCCAAGCTTTAAAACTGCTTAGAACTATTTTTTATGTGAGCTTTTATGTGAACTCAGTTTTGGCTCTGTTCTTTAGTCAGTTTCAAATCAATTCATACCTTTAATGTGCTTTAGTAAAACATCTCCCATGTTGACCAGGCCAAGAAAGGACCCTGAAAACCACTCAGAAGGGAGAGTCCTTTACATGCGAGTCCGGCTTGCTTTAACCCTCCCACTGTCTTTATGGGTGACCCCGCGAGGAAAGTTGACCATTGAGCAGGATTGATGGTTTATCCCTTGAGATCCACGTGGCAGGGGTGAGGTGGTGCTCACTCCTCACCCCTGCCACGTGGATCTCAAGGGATAAACCATCAATCCTGCTCAATGGTCAACTTTCCTCGCGGGGTCACCCCCTTTAGGACAGTGGGAGGATTAAGGAAGTTTACACACCAGTTTGCTTCTTCTTTCAAAAGACCAAAACATCTCTCGGGTCAACACAACACCCTTAAAGGTGTGGAACACCTGTTTAATCAGTACATTGGGGTGGTCTCTAGTAGGAATGAACGCCTTGTAAGTCATACTCAGGGGGCAAAAAACACTACTTGCTACTATTTAGAGGAACTAGAAGTGAGACACATCACAGCTGAGCTTCAGATGGCAGGTTTAGGAGTTTCATTTCCCGATCTCTGGATATCTCACATCTGATTGGATAACAGCAACACAACTCTACCACTGACTTGCAACGTTGATGTTTTATCTCTATAAATAACACAAGTGGTGGAGTTGCTAATGCTAACGGTTGGCTTCTACTAGCCGGTACATTGTCTGCTGTTTAGACCAAAAACAGCCTTCCCCATTGTGAGTCAAAGTGGGTGAGTCCATGAATGTTAGGTGACAGTGTGCCGTGAAGATTTTCAAATTCCAGCTTTTCCCCATTTTCTATCAGAAGCTAATGCAGGAGATAGGTGTAGGAGATTTTTTTCAGATTATGATCAGAAATAATAATAATAATAAAATGGTTTTTCAGTGTTCCACATCTTTAATAACAATCAGGAGTGAGACTGATTTATATGAGAGTTCAACTCACACCTATTTGTATGTGACCAATGGAATTTCTGTTAGCCAGGCCAACCAAAGACCCTTTACAACCACTCAGGGAGGACAGGAGGGTGACTGGTTTTCATATGAGTTTGGCTCGTAGAAAAGGAGATTATTATTAATGATTAATTTTCAAGCTTTAAATTTTAAAATTTGAATGTAGAAAGCTCTTTGGATGAGAAACAACCCGAATAAAAAAACAAGGTAAGGTCTTGTCATCTGTAAAAAAAATCTTTGAATTATTTGAATTGTGACAGTAACCTAATGTCCTACACTGATGTGTGAGAATTAAGCCAAAGGGGTTTGAGGGGTTGAGGATTCCCTTGTTTGTGATTCATTTCAGCAGTTCTGGAGTAATAACCTTACTAGCTGACTTTATTTGCATAATTCTGCAAATTGGCCACCAAACTGAAGACAGCTGGGCCCACTTTTCTTATTACCCTTGGTAATAATTAGCTCTTTCCTAGTAGGTTAGTACTTTTATTCTAGGTCTTTTGGTGTTTTCTTAGAAGAGCACGTGGGCCAGATTCTTGCAAACTCACAACATGGGAATGGCAATGACAACTGATACTGTATATTGCTGCTCGGAAATCTTCATTTCATTTTTAGTTTATGTTTAGAATATTTGATGGAAAAATACTTTATTTTATTTATGTGGCTAAAAAGCTTTTTCATTCACATCCTTCCAAATTTGTCTGACTGAGTAAAAAATCATGTCACATATTTAATTTGATCCTAATGTACCTTCATAGTTACGGAGTCTTAAATAACTTCTCAAATCATCTTCAATAATTTAAACATAAAAATAGAGCTGGAAAAAAACAGATATGTGTATTACCAACATTGATTCTCACACTTGATGTAAATGATCTGCACTCAAACAAAACAGTTTGAAAGACTTTCAATTAAATGTATAAAGAAAAAAGATAAAGGTGGCTTATATACACATTTGAAGGAATACAAGAGTCCAGAATTTGACAGCAATTTTCACAATTAATCACATTTCAGCAGACACAATATACAGCAGGGAGAGTGAAGCAGTTCAAACCAACAATATTGGAGCCATTTTGGAAACACATTTTAAAAAAGCTGCTGACATAAAAAAAAAGCCACACTGCTGCCTTTTCAACTTTGGCCATTCTTCATTAGATAAACCATTCCCAAGGCATTTCAGCATTTGGCAAGGAAACACAGTAACTCATTTTGATCTTTTTTTGTGCTTTTCTATTTGTCTCCAGTTTTTAATTTTGCAAAAGGGCCAGATCTATCACCAGGCACTCACACTGAATCCTTCCTGCTTTCGTACACTCTCCCTTCTCTTTTATGTTGGTTTAACCTTGGAAACGTCATTAAATAGACCAGTGAAACTTTCTGTAAAACTTCAGAGTGAATAAATGAAAATAAGTACCACGATAAGTCAGCAGTTTTATTAAAAGTTAGTCAGACGTGAACTGGAAAGTGGCAGTCGAACTGATCTCATCAGAGTTTTCGTGTTTTGACTGATTCTGAAAGCTGCCTGAACCTCATCTTTATGCGAGGCATCAATCAAATCAAAACGAGTCAAAATGAGCAAAAAAACAAAATAAAAATAAAATCACACCAGATTTCCTATACACACTGTATCTGCTCGTTTTTGTCTTTTTTGCAACATCAAATGATTCAAGGTAAAATTTCATGAGGTCGTTAAGCTGTGATGTGATTTCATTGTGACATAAACATTAAGTAACTTCCTAAAAGTGAAAATTAAACTAATTTTAATACATTTTATACATCTTTAAACAAAGTGATTGATTCTTTCTGAACACCTGAACCCTCAGTGGTCCAGATCCGTAGCCAGCACGGCGCGGGGCCGCCGCGCTGATCGAAGTAAACAGCGTTTTTCGCAAATATTCACTCGAGTTGATGGAATGGATCATCTAGCATCTTTCGTATATTTTTGGTGTGTTCTCTGCTCTAAAAAGTACAGCACTACCCTTATACTCCTACCCTAATAGTGAGAATCATATTATACACTTATCTGACAGACCTTGCTACAGTGTTACACAAAACCTTCTTCTTATCTTACAAAGGGTCCACTGTTTAATTACAAGTCTATTTAAAAGAGATGGGGGGTTGGGAGCGGTGAATGATCTAAAAGTACCATATTCAGTGTGATACACATATAAGGCGTCAACAGCACAGATCTTCATTCAAATAAAAAGGACGCGATCCAGAGTTAAAAGCTAGGCAATGAAATGATCTACAAAGCATTTACATTGCTACTTGACAGGCGATACAAGAAGGCATTGACAGAAGTTTGATGGCGTTTGTATTTTTAGGCACCGTGTTGATGAGGGATATGTGCTTGTGAACACGGGATTATAATATGTGTTTGCGTGTTTGCTTGGTGGGAAAAAGATGAACAAAAGGGGAGGAAGAGGGGTTGTTTAAGAAGCAGTCATGGTGGATTTACAGATTCCCAGGTGTTTGTGTCAAAAGACGAAGAAAAGAAGGAAAAAAGGCAAAATACAAGGATGGGGGTAATCTCCAGCAGCAGGACTGAGCTGACTGAGAAAAACATCGGCCAAGGATGAAACAGCAAAGAAATAAGGAGCTAAAATGTAGCTGAGAGGAATACACTGAAAGTTAGGACGAATCAGATCTTCTTCCTCTGCAAACTTCGTGTTGACTTGACGAGGGCAGTGGCCAGAGGTGACGGAGCGAAGTAGGAGACAGAAGGAGACAGTAAGAAATACAGAGACTTTAGGACTGAAAGAGAAGGGAGAGAGCCGAACGGCACCCTATGCAGTCTAAATGAAGTACTCCTTCTTTTCTTCTGCGTGCGCGTGGTTGCCCTCAGCGTTGATAATGGCTGTGTCGGCATCGGGCGCGTCGTCTGCTCCTTTGGCTTCGTTCGTCAAGTACGTTCCTGCGGAAAAGTGAGAAAACAAACCCATCTCAAGGAAAACAAATACTGAGCAACCCTGCTTGGTGTTGGCAGCCCGAGGCGCACAACACATCTGAGGACAACATCAGTGATGCTACATTATTCATAAATGGAATGATGAGAAGCTGGGGTATGGAGTGGTAAATGGGAAAGCTGCAGAGTAAGTGCATAAAGGCTATCCACAGATAACACCAAATAGCATCAACAGATACTGGGACGGTTAATAATAGCAAGAGACAGGTCCTGATTTATACGCTGAAATGATCTGGTGACAGCCTCAGGGTGAAAACTGGTCAAACATTTAGTCATAAACAAACATCCAACTTTGACACCACTGGTATTTAAAACATCTAAAGACAATCTAGCACACTAAATTTGAAACTACCATAGTCTAGAACTTCTAACACTAAAACCACCATCCTAATTCCCTGTATATGCCATGAATTTCTATTTTGAGATACAGGAGTGTAAGAAAATCCGTCTCATTATGAAAACTGAATGGGAGAGTGAAGCAGATGTGGTGTGATCTGTAGCAACTATGGAAAATCACATAATCACCTTAAGCCAGCATCTCACTGAAATACAGCTGTTGGTGTTGTGTAAGCCACTCAACCATGTTCTCCCATATTTGTAATTTTGAACATATTAGAAACATTAGCAACACATCGTATCTTAAAGTAGTCCTAGAGTTGTTGCAAGGATCTGGAGCCTGTCTACAACTCTTCTTAATTTCATTTCTATTCAGTAGATAGTGCATGAAATGTGGGACACATTTGGGAAGAATTGGCGACTTTAAGTTGTGACTGAATGTAGGCAAAAAATAAAAATAAAAAAATAAAAAGTGACATTCCAAGCGCAACAAAACTGTGAACAATCTAATACATTAATAAGAAACTTTGTTAATAAATTGCAATAAGAAAACTTTCACAATACTTGCACAAATGCAGTATTTGATATTTTGAGATGGGCCTAACAGTCACAAGTACCTGCTTAGTGTGATTCAAAGTAAAATTTTTACGTATTTTCACAGTTTTGTGTTTCCAATCAATAGCCAACAGTTGCCGCCCAGTGTGAAACTAGATAGTACAATATCTCCCCGGATTGCTGGTGTGAAAATTTACTAGGGATGCACCGATACCAGTATCCGTATCGGTAAAAGTTAACCGATACCAATGCAGTTGCCTGAAAGTGCTTCACTGTAACTTGTTATTACTGTTCACCTAATATTTTAAATTTGTAATCATATCTATTAATATATTTTATTTTTTATCTACCTCACAGTATTTCCCTGTTGAAAGTAGAGAAGAAAATAAAACCTGTATTCCAGTTCATTGCATTTTTTGGTGTGGTAGAAGTATCGGTAATGGCAAGTATTCATTTCCAAGTATCAGTATCGTATCGGTTTGGAATCCCTAAAATTTACCACCATTTTTGAAGGTGATTCTTTTTTGCAGATGTGTTAATGCACTGAACAGATGTTGCTTGTTATAGTAATCAATCCATTATTCACATCTTTGTCAAGAGAAGGGGGGGGGGGGGGGGGTATAATCCTCGCACTGCCAATGCCTGCTTGCCCTTTGTGCTGCATATCTAAGCCGGCTACAACATTACCTAAGTCTACATGACTTCTTTTGTCCTCAAAAAGTTGTAACCTAATGAGAAAAAAACTGCAATCCAAAGGGACAAGTGGGACATGCTTCATTGATCCAATGAGCCTTGAGGTCTGGCCCATTGTGGTTTTTACCTTTATGCCTGGCCAGGTATCTTCCAAGAACAATGATTAAACACAAGGTGACAAAGACCACAACAGCCACCACTCCTCCGATCAAGGCGTGGTCAGTGCCGTGCTGACCCAGTGCGTTGGGATCTGAGGCGAGACAAAGGGAGAAACAAAGGTTAGACAAAGTGTTGGTTAGAGAGGTGAAGGAGCAAGTGAAGGAAGAGTAAGGAGGAGAGAGAAGATTATTTCCAGTTCATTCCTGCTTTAACAGCTGTTCTGAGTTGCTGTCGTTCCTCCCCTCTTTCTCGTTACACAGTCATAGAGGAGCCTTCGACAGCTCTCGGAAAAGAATAAAGGAGAAGAAGAGCGACGGACACCACGTTGGCTCAACATGGGCAGACATGCAGGCATGTTGAAAATTGGAGGGCAAAAGAGAATCATTGAAGGTGTCTGAGAAAAGTTAACAATTTAGAACCACCGCCACAGGAGATCCTCAACATGCAAACCAGCAGAGAAAGAATTGTACACAGTAAATAAATCCTTATTATGAAAAGACGTAGAAAAATTCCGTCTTCTTCGGCTCCTGCAAAGCTAAATTTATAGTCTGGAGGAAAAGAATCAGATGTCAGAGAGTAGCTACAGGTCTCTAGCAGCTGGAAATAGTTAAAATGAGAGAAAAAAGACATAAAAGAACAAAGAATCCGCCTAATTTAAAAACTCAAAAGAGTTTTTAACAGGAGGGTGTTTTCATTATTCACTCTGAATTCATTTTCTCAAAGTCTGCTATCTGAAGATAAGATTCAGAGCTGGACATGAACACCTAAAGAGCTACTGTGCATAAACCTGCAAAAGAAGGTGAAAACCGACAGCTGAGGGGAGATAGTTAATGGAATAGTTTGAAATTTTTATTTTGGATCGTGACACCTGAGAGATTACAGAAGCCATCGTCTGGTTAGTCTCCTGCGAGGGTCTTGGGATGTGATTTACAACCCAGCCTCTTTAAGTGTGTGTTTGTAAGCAGCCGATGTTTAAGCAGGGAATGAAGGAGCGATGGCTAACGCCTACAGCGAGCATCATGTGTTGACTCCGTTTCTCTTCAGTATTCTCCGTTTCTTTCTGTGCCTGTCCACGTGGTCAAACTGAACTGCTGGCTCGCTCTCGCTTCATAAGTCTCCATGGTCTGAGTGGCCAGGCCGTCACACTTCACTGCCTCCCAGTGGACAAACACACGCTCATACGTGTGGACGTGAGTAGCATAGTTCGACTGTGCTGCAGTTCTTCTTGCTTGGTGGAGCAGAGAGCGGAGGAATGTTCTTCTGGCAGGACCCGGCAGGATGATGACCGAGGCCTTTAGTTACACACATGGTTTTGTCGTTCACCTTTCTCTATCTGTGTGTGTGTATTTGTGTGACAGTGTGTGTGTGTGGGTTTGTTTAACCACCAATTCAGTCACTGTCTGAATCTTCTTTTTAGACTTATTAGATGTTTATATGTTGGATTATGAGTCTAACTATTGGCGTTTTGTTGTCTGATCCTGACATTCATAAACATGTTACTATAAGTCACATGAGCTCAGCATCGACCAAAGTCAGGGACAACCCGCTTGGTTTTTACTCATCTGATGTATCCTTTGCTCCATACTTAAGCACAAAGGTTGTGAGTTGTTCTTTTAACTAAATAGTAATGAAATTTAAATACTCCACATAAAAAAAAAAAACTTTAAAGGGAGAATAGGCAGGTATGGCTTGCTCTTAGCACCCCCTAGTGTCCGTTTAGTAGAACAAAAAGCAAAACGTATCTCCTTGCTGTGCGTTTGTCTTTTTAACACCTTAACCTAAAAGTTGGAATGTCTCCCCAGCCTTCCTTAGTGTCTACAGGAGTGTTTCATCAATAAATGATCTAAAACATGCAGAAAATCTGCTGGACCCAGAATGCAGCTCCAGGTAGGTCAGCTCCAACAGACTGCACTGGCAACTCTGAAGTTGCAAGTGGAATATTCTGGCCACAGCCTGGGGCGATAGGGGCTGGGGGGCTTTGTAGAGTTCTACAAACCCCCCAAGGCATTTTGCAACACAACCAGTCATTCACATATTCACACACACATTCACACGCTGGTGGCGATGAGCTAAAATGTAGCCACCGTTGCCCTGGGGAGCACTGACAGAAGCAAGGTTGCCGAGCACTAGCGCCACCAGTCCCTCCAACCACCACCAGCAGGCATGGCGTGTTAAGTGTCTTGCCCAACAACCCAATGGCTCCGGTTATGAAGCGGGCACTATTTAGATGCATTTATGTTGATGGAATAACTTCAACGATCTGATTTAAAAAGAGAGATGCTCAACAAATGCTTACAAAGTAATAATTTGAATGATCTGCTGCTGAATTGTTTTAGGAGGCTGAAATTCACTCTGTAATTAATGAAGGTTAGTTATTACCTTGACTCCTCCAGGAGGACTTCTAACAGATTTACAGGAAAATGATGAAAAACCTGCACAGAATTCCACTTGAGAAAATGAAAACTACACCTTAAGTAAAAGTATCAAGTATATCAAATATTTCACTAAAATCCTGTATCATAGCGTACGTGTACCTTTTACACAATTCTTTGAAGGACAACAAACAAAAATGAAAACTCTGTTATTGTGTCTTTATCTCCTCAGTTATAGTCTGCTGTTTCACAAAGAATAAGAAAAGCACAGTGTGTGGAAGATAAAAAGGGAAACAGAGATTGATGGACAAATGGGCAAAAAAGGCATAAATTTTATTTCATCCAAGAGGAAAAAGAAAAGAAGACAGGGAGAAGAGGAGCCTCGTCTAGTGGGTTATGCATTTTTATGACTGGCGAACGCATTATCTTTTAATAAGGGCACATACATTCTTCTCTGAATGATTTAATATGAGAGTGTGGCAGAGCAAACTCTTCTTTTAATATTTATAACACCCTCCTTGTCGCTTGACTGTGTGAGTTGGGGTTGTTAAATAAATGAAAAGGGGTTAAAGTTTTCTGTGAACTACCGCTGGGTCAAACAGGACCAAACGCATCCCCTCTTAAATTGCCCCAATAATCCCCTGGATGGCAAGATATGTGGCTGTGATTTTGTTTTTAGGGCTCTGTGTGGTAGCTAAAAGTTTAACCAGTGTAACTTGGGTTCATTTTTATTATTGGTATAAGAAATCCTTTCAATTAACACGCGTGTGTGTGTTGTCTACTTTAGTCTTTGTTACTTTATATCTTATTACTACCTCCTTATGAAAGTTGTCTTTGAGCAAGTGCAATGACAATTTTGTTTTATGCCAGTAGAGAGACCATATAAAAATCTTGAATAATTTGTCAAATTTGCCTTAATTGACATGCTATAGAGGAGAATCCTACCATTGAATCTGATTATCTGCTAGCCAGCAAGTGAGCTATACAGTTGCAGCGTCATACCAAACTACACCCCATTTATTTCTAAAGCACTTTAAAATTACAACACCCGAGTCGAGCAAAGTGCTTTACACAAAAACTAACACTAAGAGATGTACCCCTTAAAACATGCACGTAAAATTAGAAAAAAGATTAGATCTAAAGGCAAGAAATAAGTTTTAAAGAGTAAGACCATTGAGAAACAGTTTTTTACTCATTTTCAAAATTCGATTGGTCAGTCTGAGTTTAACTTGCAGGCTGAACGTTAAAATAGTTTTCTACCGGGAGTGGCCATGGCGTTGACCTGAACGGACGTCTTCCTCCTGCTCTCTCGGCGAGAGGTGAATAATATTTGACAAAATCCTACAGCCTCATTTTTAGACACAGTAAACCGTAGGTGGAGACACCACAAAGGCATGCCACTAAAGAAAACTAAGTCAAAGTTGAGTCCAGCCTCAAGAGAAAGGCACGAAGAGGAAACTGTGGCTTGTAGCCCTGCTAGCGCTACAGAAGAAGCTAACAACGCCCTCGGAACAGGACAGCAAACAGATGGTTTGGCTTCTAGCATGGAGGTGATGAACAAACTAGATACCATGAGGAACAACTTCGCGACGAGGTTTGAAACAATGCTGAATGTTATCCAAGATATTAAGAAAGACAAACAAGACTTCGCAGACACTGTGTCTTGTGACACAGGGACCATGATGGAAATTCATCTTCCAGAAAGTCCCAGAGCAGCGTCCACACCCCTGAAAAGACCAAGATGTGAGGTGTCTGCTGTTGATTCCAGCTTCCACCTCAGTGACAGTATTATTGAGAAAGACTCTAAATCTAGCTGTTTTCAGCTCCTTTCTGCTCTGGCTAACTTCTTCTTCCTGAAACAGGAACACAAGCACTTTTTTAATTTGCACAAGTCCTGCCTCTGCAAAAGCTGTCTCCCCTTGTTTTGCAGTATCTGTCCAGCAGACCTAAGTGAACATTCCTGCATGTAGGGCTGTATGAGGTCTGTGCAGTTGAAAGATTTAAAAACAAAAGAAGTTTAAAATGAAATTCTAAATAATAACAATTAGAATATTATGAAAATGTTCAATATTCTAGGCTCTAAGTGTCTCACTCTAATCGACTAATTCATCCAAAACATCTGAATTACTGAAATAAAGGGACTTTTGCTCAGTAGAAATTTTTTTTGAGTTTCACCAGTAAAGAAAAAAGTAAGGGCCCAAGAACAGATTCTTGTAGAACCCCCCCAGGATAGGGCGGGCTAGATTCACCAACATGAACACAGAAGGCCTTGTTAGACAGATAGGACGTAAACCCCTGAGATAACCCACTGCTCCAGCCTGGGGATCAGGATCTCGTGGTCCAAGATATCAAAGGCAGCGGTAAAGTCCATAAACACCAGAACGACAGCCACCAGAGTCTGTTGCTAACAAAATGTCGATAAAGACTTTTAACAGATGTCTCTCTGCTGGTCTGCATTTTAAACCCTGACTTTATGAACTTACAATAAAAACACAGCATGTATTACCTGGCAAGCCATCCTAAATATGTGAATGTATAGTCTGGCCATGACTGATAGGTAGAGCTCTGTTGTGGGGCGGTTTAAGTCATCTCCACGTGCTATTGGAGTACAAACAACGTGACATACTCACCGCTACAGATGTTAGCCAACGGGACAATCCACATTAAACCGTCAAAGAAGACGCAAATACATCCTTTTTCTTAATTAAGGACTTAAGAA